ACCCCTTTACAGCATTGGGGGTTGAATAATTTTGGCCACAACTGTATATCATGCACCAAAGCTCTTGCAGTAACTTGCCAAAAAAAGAGAGACTAGGAAATTGTACTCCAGGATGAGGATGACTATTCCATTTCAGGCGTTATAAAGTTGTTAAAGTCACCTACTATAATATGATTATGCTTATCTGAAACATATTTAGGAAATTGCATCACTTTATAAGAATTTGGTGGCGGAATATAAATATTACAAATTTTAAAGTCCGTGCAAAGCAGTGAACCATGTATAAATGCATATTTACGTTTTGACTTCAACCCTTTTCTGAATACTAGTGAACTGTACCAGGCTATGTATAAGTATGCTAACACCAATTTAAAAGTAAAAAATAGAAAGAATGTATACTTTGAGTATACTTAGACCTTTGTAGATACCTCTCTGTATCTGACGAACAATTTGTCAGATAGAGAGACCAGAAAGGAAAGAAAAGGAAAAATAAAAAGAAGCACCAACACTTAAATAAGGGGGGGGGGGGAATGAATTAGTGATTGATCTCTATTCTACACATTCTGTACTCCCTAGTCCCACAAGTGGGACAGTATATGGTCAGTAATACCCACCAGGTGCAATATTATTCCAGCCAATGATTTCATAAGAATTTTTCATTATTATCAATCAATGATGTTGCATTGGCTGGCATAACAAAATAGTGGTTTTCTCCACTAGCAATAGTCCTTAGCCAAGCAGAGTAAAACAACACATGACAATTTAGTGTTTGCAAATACTTTTTCATTCCCTGGAACATCTTTGCACTTCTGCAAAAAGTTTAAAATAGTGATATCTTGACCAATCTGAAAAATACCTCAGTATCTGGACACCTTAGATCCTTTATAAATTATCTAGCATCAGACTCCCAGACTCCTTAGATATAGGTTTAGAGCGTAAATCTTCACTTAGCCCGCCGCCCTCCAACACGCACACACTTTTTTTTATACTTTCCCTCTTCTTGTTTCCCCTCTCTCCAGCTTTTTCCCTATAGCCAGGCCCCATTTTCTATTTATTGTCCCCTTTCTCTTATCACCTCACAATGTTCCTTTGTTATATGCTTCCCTCCGCCCTCACACAGCGGGGAAGACTTCACCTTATCTTTTTATATAACCTGTAGACATTTTTTGGCACTGCATGAGTCTATAATATCTTGTTCTGTGTACAATTGCCCCTAAACTAATATGTTCCAGTTTCTCTGTTATGCAGAATGACTTTGCTATATGACTCATGTGATCAAATATTTACCCAGTCCTCTTTTGGTTTAAATAAATATTGAATCTATAAAAAAAAGTGACATCTTCACACCATTTATTGTAATATCCTCAGGGCAGAGTATTCTCCATAGAGTGATATTCAGTATTTATCCTAATTAATTAATCTGTCCATGATTGATCTTGGCATTCCCCCAGATGAAGGGGGGAGGGCACGTCTTTCCGAAACATAGAGAGAAGTCATCTCTCAATGCATTCAATATATTATCTCCCTCAATCTTTTTTGTAACTCCAGCAATTCTCATGTTATTCTGACACAATCTTTTTTTTCCAATGTTTTCCATTTTATTGGTATTAGCACTGGTCTTTTTGCTTAAGATGATGCATAGCTTGTTTTATAGGATAAACCACATTGTCAGTGTCACACAATCTTTCTTCCTGAACCCAGTTTCTTTCCCAAAATTTGTAAAAATAATTTTTATAAAAATTTATTTACTTTCAAATTGCATCCATCTGAGGTTTTGTAACTGATTGCTTCACATGCTGACAGGCAAGCTATTCTTGCCTAGCTGCCACCTATTTCCTCTTTTGTGGTTTTACTGTTGTCCAGTATCTGTGCACTGCCCTGTAATCTTATTGGTGTATGCACCTCTTCCCTTGGCTTGTTTTGCACTTCTGCTGATAACCAAAGCATTCTCTTAGATAAGAAAGAAGAGATACAAAACTGGACTGTTCTTCTGCAAGTAGTGCTCCTGCTTAAAGTTCTAGGCTGTGCTGGTACATGTAGTGATCCATTGCAGGGTACTAGGCTGTGTAAATACCAGTAGTGCTCCTCTGCAAGGTAATGGTGCTTTGCTGGTACTAGTAGTGCCTCTGTGCAGGGTAATGGGTTGGGTTGGTACCAGTAGTACTCTTTTACAGTCTGGGTTGCACTGAAAACATAAGAGTTTCTATACAGTGTTGACTCAGCACAAGATGTTCAAAGCACCTTACGAATCAGGAGCTAACCAGCACATACAAAAGCAGGACCCTTCGGAAGATTTGAATAGATAAAACCCCTTGGTGGTGGCACACACCACCATCCCTCACCCTTCACTTTCTGCTAGAAAGATTTGTAACTTCAATATAGATATATATATTTTTTTTACTGGGGGGGTAGGTTGTCCTCACTTTCTGTCATTAGAAGGATATTACACAATAGTAGGTCATATGCATAGCATGTATACCAGCATTGTGCTTTTTGTAGCATGGGGCTGCAAGATAGTTATGAAAGCTACAGCTATAACATCAATACTGACTCCTGGAATGAAAAGTTCAATATAAATAATGTTTTGGGCTTTTTTTTAACCTAATAATTCAGTTAAACCTGTTTTAGATGGAAAAAATGGGTATTTAAAACAAAAGCCTGTTAAAAAAATCCATCCATATATCCTCAAGATAAATATTGCTATAATTTTCACACTAACATTAGCGCTGTAGCAGAACTTAACAATGTTTGGGGAAAATACTGTAACTTAAAGACCAGCAAGTTAAACCCCCTTCCTGTTAGGGCCACTTGTCAGTTTTCAGTAGTGTAATGCTTGGACAATTACATGGTCATGTAATATTGTGCTCAAATAATCTTTCATACATATATATTTTTGAGACCGATAAAGGTTTCTTTTGGTGGTATTTAATCCACTGTTTTGTTTTTTAAAAGAAAACAATGGCCACTCACTGGATATGTTTGCTTTTTTAGACCATTCTCTGTAAACCCTAGAGATGGTTGTACGTGTAAATCCCAGTAGATCAGCAGTTTTTGAAATACTCAGACCATCCCACCTGGCACCAACAACCATGCCACGTTTAAAGTCACCTAAATACCCTTTCTTCCCCATTATGATGCTTGGTTTGAACTTTAGCAAGTCATCGTAACAATGTCCAGATGCCTAAATGCATTGAGATGCTGTCATGTGATTGGCTGATTAGCAATTTGTGTTACTAAGCAATTGAATAGGTGTACCTAATAAAGTGGCCACAGATTGTATATGTATGTGTGTGTGTGTGTGTATATATATATATATATATATATATATACTGTATATATATATATTTCCCTTAGTTTCTGTTATAAAACTTCCTTCATAAATTTAGGTCAAGATGTATTCTGCCATGTTTCTTTGTAAAAAAAAAAAAAAAAGTGTATATTATTTTGATTCTGCTAAAATTACAGTCTACAAACAATGGCATATATAGCTGAAATGTATCAACCCTGATGTTTTCACTGCCTATCTAATTTCTTAAGGCCCAGAAATGCCAGGACATTACAAACAACCCCTCCTTCTTGTAAAATAAAGAAAAAAAACATTTTTTTTTAAACAATTGAATATTTCTAACATACAGTATGGGCATATTGAAAATTTCACCACAAAACATATTCTTCTCCTCTTGAGTATGGGGAGGCCATTTGTGTGAGACTGTTTCAGGGCCAACTGCACAGAGGGGTCCAAAATTCAGCTTTTGAACAGGCATATATTACATATCTAGTTTCTTGACTACCTTAAATATTTTTCAGTAGGATGTACTATACTGCTGGTGCTTGCCTGCTGAAGTTCAGTTAGATGTTCAGTGCTTGGTGTCATAGTTTGCCTCACTCTTTTAGCAGGGACACCTTTATGTTCTGAATCACAGGTGGCTGTTTATGAACCACTAACTACCACATGTGTTTACTCTGAATCTGAATCAGACTGTGAGGTCAGAATTAGAAAGGCCGACTCACTAGTGCACATTTTTTGGACAATTTTGACAGTGACTATAATCCTTCCTGATAACAATACTGATGCTGCTTGACTATCAGGACACCAGCTAGCTAACAGTGGTGCTAGATGACAATAGTTACATACATAGTTACATACAAAGTTAGTCTGGCTGAAAAAAAGCAAAAGTCCATCCAGTTCAACCATATAAAAAAAAAAGTTAAAACCCTACACCCACAATTGATCCAGAGGAAGGCAAAAAACCCAGAAAAAAAGCATGGGAAAAACCTCCTTCCTGATCCCCCGAGAGGCAATCGGATATTTCCTGCATCAACTTTACCTATAAATGTTAGTATCCAGTTATATTCTGTGTATCTAGGAAAGAATCCAGGTCTTTTTGAAAGCAATCCACTGAGCTGGCCAGAACCAACTCTTGAGGGAGTCTATTCCACATTTTCACAGCTCTCACTGTGAAGAAACCTTTCTGTGTTTGGAGATTAAATCTCTTTTCCTCTAGACGTAAAGAGTGCCCCCTTGTCCTTTGTGATAACCTAAGGATGAATAACTCTACACCGTGTTCACTATATGAACCACTGATGTATTTATACATGTTGATCATGTGCCCCCTAATCTACTCTTCTCAAGAGAGAATACATTCAGTTCCTCTAATCTTTCCTTTTAGCTGAGCTCCTCCATGCCTCTTAGTTTGGTTGCCCTTCTCTGTACTTTCTCCAGTTCCGCAATGTTCTTTTTGTGAATTGGTGCCCAAAATTGAACTGCATATTCCAGATGAGGTCTTACTAATGATTTGTACAGGGGTAATATGATATCTCTCTCTCTGGAGTTTATACCTCTTTTAATACAAGAGAGGATTTTGCTCACTTTAACCACCTTCTGCCCACCATATAGTACAATGACGGGCGCAAGGTGGTTATCTTGTTCTGATAGGACGTCATATGACGTCCTTCCATTCTCACCGCGCATGCGCGGCTCAGGGAGCACACAGCGCGGCGATCGCCGGTGCGCTGTGTCCCTCGGACACAGCGGATCACGGAAAGAGCCGAAGATGTCGGCTCGGTCATGTGATCAGCTGTGTCCAATCACAGCTGATCACATGTAAACATGGAAATTTCTGTCCTCTCGAGCTGTCACGCTGACAGCTCGAGAGGTGAGGAGAGCCGGTAATCGGCTTTCCGCGGAGGGGACATGTGCACTGATCATCAGGGCACTATTGATCAGTGTAGCCCTGATGATCAGTGTAGCCCCAGCAGTGCCACCTGTCAGTGTCCATCAGTGCCACATCAATGCCACATATCAGTGCATACCAGTGCACATCAATGCCACATATCAGTGCCCATCTGAGCTGCCTTTCAATGCCACCCATCAGTGCCAGTCAGTGCCACCTATCAGTGCCAATCAGTGCCACCTATCAGTGCCCATCAGTGCCACCTATCAGTGCCAGTCAGTGTCACCTATCAGTGCGCATCAGTGCCACCCATCAATGCCAGTCAGTGCCGCCTATCAGTGCCAGTCAGTGCTGCCTAACATTGCCAGTCAGTGCCGCCTAACAGTGTCAGTCAGTGCCGCCTATCAGTGCCAATTATCAGTGTCATGTATCAGTGCTGCCTTTCAGTGCCCATCAGTGATACCTGTAAATGCCCATCAGTGCAACCTACCAGTGCCTCCTCATCAGAGCCCATCAGTGCCAGCTATCAGTGTCCATCAGTGCAGCCTATCAGTGCCCATCACTGCAGCCTCATTAGCGCACATCAGTGAAGGAGAAAAATCACTTATTTACAAAATTGTATAACAAAAACTAAGAAAAAACTTTTTTTTTCAAAATTTTCAGTGGTTTTTGGTTTGTTTAAGAAAAAATAAAAACCCCAGAGGTAATTAAATACCACCAAAAGAAAGCTCTATCTGTCTCAAAAAAATGATACAAATTTCATATGGGTACAGTGTTGCATGACCGCACAATTGTCATTCAAATTGTGACAGTGCTGAAAGCTGGAAATTTGCCTGGGCAGGAAGGGGGTATAAGTGCCCTGTAGGCTAGTGGTTAAAAACTGCAGCTTGGCATTGCATGCCATTATTAAGCTTGTAAACTACCAGAACTCCCAGATCCTTCTCCACCATTGATTCCCCCAGTTGTACTCCCCCTAGTATGTATGATGCATGCATATTCTTAACCCCAAGTGCAGAACTTTACATTTATCGACATTAAACCTCATTTGCCACATAGTTGCCCAATTAAACAATGCATTGAGGTCGGCTTGTAAGTTGGAGACATCCTGTAAGGATATTATTCCACTGAAAAGTTTGGTGTCATCTGCAAAGACTGAACTGGTATTTTCAATCCCAGACCCTATATCATTTATAAATATATTAAAAAGTAAGGGTCCCAACACTGAATCTTGGGGTACACCACTAATCACCCTAGACCATTCAGAGTATGAATCATTAACCACTACTCTCCGAATACGATTTTTTAGCCATTTACATACAGATTTTTCCAAGCCTGTAGACTTTACCTTACACAGCCATGTGTGGGGAACTGTGTCAAATGCTTTTGCAGAATCCAAGTATACCACGTCCACCGCCACCCCTCTGTCCAAGGTTTTGCTCACCTCCTCATAAAAATAAATCAGATTTGTTTGACAACTTTTGTCTTTCATGAATCCATGCTGTCTGGTGCTTAAAATATTTTTTTCCAGCAAAAACTCATCTATGTGGTCTTTTAGTAAACTCTTCAGTATCTTCCCAACTATAGAACTAACTGGTCTATAATTACTTGGTAAAGATTTTGATCACTTTTTAAATATAGGCTCCACATTGGCTTTACACAAATCCATTGGTACCAATTGTGCCAGTGGGTGTATGCCATCTGGTCCAGGTGCTCTATTCACCTTTATTCTGTCTAAATATTTTTGGTTGATATCAATTGTGAGCCAATGTGGATCATCTTGGGCTGTGTCATTACCATGCGCATTGTGGACAAGAGCTCCCCCATGCTCCTTTGTATACACAGAGCTAAAGAAGGTATTTAATAAATTCGCCTTCTCTTTGTCCCCAGGCCCCCCTCTAGAGTATTTTGTAAAGGGGATACATGCTCAGACCAGACCTTTTTACTATAAATATATGAAGAATTTTGGGGAGTTTGTTCTGCTATTGTTTGCAATGTGTTGTTCGTTTTCAAGTTTTTGCCACATTGATTTCCTTTTTACATATTCTATTATATTCTTTGTAATGTTTCAATGATGAAAGTGTTCCTTCATTGTTATATTTAATAAAAGCTCTTTTCTTATTATTTATAGCTTTTTTAACTTTGGCCTTAAGCCACATAGATCTGATTTTTAGCCTTTTAAACTTGTTGCTCATGGGAATATATTTTGCAGAGTGTTCACATACAGTCTTTTTGAAGAACTCCCATTTCTGTGTTGTGTTCATCGATGCCGATATTCCCCCCAGTCTAAGTCTTGGAGAGTAGCTCTCAGCCTTAGAAAATTAGCTCTCTTAAAGTTCAGCATTTTTATTTTTCCCGTGTGTGCTTGTTGTTTACAGCTAACAATAAATGCAATCATGTTATGGTCACTGCTACCCAGATGTTCTTTTATATGGACATTAGTAATAAGCTCTGCATAGTTTGAGATTACCAGGTCCAGCAGAGCATCTTTCCTAGTTGGGGTTTCTATGAATTGTACCAAAAATTGTCCTTTAGTAGGTTTATACATTTTTGCCCTTTAACTGTTCCTGCAGTGCCATTATTCCAGTCAGTTTCTGGGTAGTTAAAATCCCCCATTATTATCGCTGTCCCAGCCTTTGCAGCCCTTTCGATCTATTCAAGGAGCTGAGTCTCCACCTCATTAACACTGGGTGGCCTGCAACAAACTGCAATGATAACCTTTGTAGTACGCACTCCCATGTGCAGTTCCACCCATAATGCTTCAGCCTCATCACATTCTCCATCAACTAGGTCCTCTTTCACACTCGCTCTGAGATCACTTCTCACATAGAGGCAAACACCACCATGTTTCCTTTTTATCCTGTCTTGCCAAAAGAGAACATAGCTAGGAGCATCAATGGCCCAGTCATGTGAATGATGAAGTGAAGATTCAGCAGTACCAATTAAATCATAGCTCTCTTCATGCACCAAAGCTTCTAACTCAGCTATTGTGCTTGGCAGACTTTTGGCAATGGTGAACAAACACTTTAATGCATTGACACATGTAGTTTGCATACTTGTTATTGTTGTACAATTGGTACCAGTTCCAATGGTTGTTTGTAACACGGGAACCTTCTTATCACCTGCCATAGCCCCCCCCCATCTTTCCCCATTCCACCCACCAATAAGACCTGTCTGATTTGTCTGCCCCAATATAATCTAATTCTCCCTCCCCCCTCGATCCTAGTTTAAATACTCCTCCAGCCGTCCCATGAACCTCTCCCCCAGCACAGCAGACCCCCTTCCATTTATGTGCAAACCATCTCTAGCATATAGGTTGCACTCTAATGAAAAGTCAGCCCAGTGCTCTAAAAAACCCAAATCCTTCCCTCTTACACCAGGTCTTTAGCCATGCATTGAGATCTCTAATCTCCCCGTGTCTTTCCTGAGTTGCACATGGCACAGGTAATATTTCAGAAAATATCACCTTGGAGGTCCTTCCCTTCAACTTGCAGCCTAGTTCTTTAAATTGATTCTTATAGAGCCTCCACCTTCAGTGTATTTTGTCATTAGTTCCAACATGGACCAAGACAACTGTGTCATGCCTAGCCCCTCCCAGACATTTATCAACTCGGTCCACCACATGCCGAACCCTGTCACCAGGGAGACAGCAAACCATTCGGTTGAGGTGATAATGGATAATATGGCTGGTAATCGTGGTATGCCTGGTATGGCTGGTAATCGGTTTGCTGGTGGTGTCTTACACTAGCACTGATGACATTGTACTGGTATTCCAGTGATCATGACACTGTAGCTGGCTAACACTGTCTCTCATCACACTGGCACTTGTGAAACTGCAATCAGAGCACTGCTTTTGGCTTCTCAGACCCTGGTGACACTGGCACTTGTATGGTTAGCCATAAGGGCAATGTTACTGGCTTCACTGGTTCTAATGTGGCAGTGATCATTACATTTTATCTGGCTTACACTATTACTGACCATGCTAGTGAATAAAACCCCAACTGATGGCTATACTGGCACTGGTCTGGCCAGCAAGCAGGAACACTGGCTCCGATGGGGCAGCAATCATAACACTTTAGCTGTCTTGCTAGTGAATAAAACCCCAATTGATGGCTATGCTGGCATGGTGTGGCCAGCAATCAGGAGCAGCTTTTTCTGGCTGAATTGATCTGGTGACACTATTCTGGCTGCACTAGTCTGACAGCACTGACAATGGGGTGTCAACAATCAGGGATGTTGTGGCTGGCTGTACTGGTTTGGTGATACTGAGACTTGTGTAGTGGCAATCAGGGACACTGTGGCTGACTTGCACTGGTTTATAGACACTGACACTTATGTGGCTAGCAATCACTGACACTGTGGTTGGCCTACACTGTTGCATCAACATTAGCACTGGTCTGGACAGCAATTAGGATACTGAGGCTGTCTGGTAACACTGTGCTGGTATAACTAGCAATCGGGGACACTATGGCTGTCTCTGGTGACACTATAAATAATATTGGCATCCATACCCAGGAACACTGTTTCTTCTCACAGTCAATCCGTGTGTGAGAAGAAGTAAAGTGGTGATTGCTATGATTAATCACAGTGATCATGTGTTACAGGGCCAATTTCATTGGCTCTATATCCTCGTTTGTGATCTGCAGTATTTGATGGAAAGTGAATACAAAGCATGCTTGTGTGAATGCTAGAGGGAATGCATGAGCACCCTTAGGAATCATTTGTCCATCCATTTTTATATAATGGCCGAATGGCAAGTAGTTAATCCAGTAGCAGGACTTGTTTGCAAAGTATGTGTCTGCAGATTTGTTCCCCTTGCACCCCTCCAAACAATATGCTAAATGCAACGTTCTAATCCACATGACAAATCCTAGACTGGAAGGTTTATCAGGTCCTGGACATTGTATTGTGGTATGGGGGCCGGGGCATGTATGTTTTCAAATACCAAGAAATGGAGACATGGCAGGAGTGCTCCAGACAGTGATGAAGTGCAAGATGTAAATGAGCCGGTGCCATTAACTTTAAGCTGCTACGTTTCTAATAATTTTACCTCCCCTATGGATTCTAAGTAAGTGCCATTCATGGAATGATAATTTCTCAAATATTTGATCATAATTATCAAGTGTGCTGAAACCTACAGGACAGCCCCTGGATTTTAGACACTTCTGTGCAGGGTCCACAGAATCCAAAATGCTGTTCAAAGTGGCAGCAGAGTACTGAGGGATGGAACATGGGAATGCAGGCCCACTAAATCCCTCCCCGAATAACACTATGTAACTTAAATAAAGAAATACACAGACTCTATA